CTATATTAAAACCGAATAAATACATGTTATACCCTTAATTAATAAATGCTTCCCCAATCTAATGATAATTGCTGGATAAGCAATAATTATATTATTCCAGTGTCGTGTGTTTGTATATTTTTTGTAGACTTCTGCATGTCCTTTTTTGTCTTTACATTATGTTGTAAGATGCGTGGATGGAATTTTTTATGGTCAATTTCAAACGTTATTGAAGCTAACTTTAATCACTGAAGACCTGCAGTACTTCAAAAGAAAACATAATTACTGTGAGGTGTAAGAGATAACAAGTTCAATGCTACGATGCAGCAAAAAAAGTCAAAGGTCGATGGCGCGTTAACATAAAGACACGTCACGTATGTTCAAGTGTGCAGCTTTTGAAATTTCTCCATTAATTAAGATCAGTTCACTTTCCATCAAGAGAAACTCAAGGCCATTGACCTAAAATTCTTGCATCTTACCGGTTTATCAGTGACAGTAACGAGTTTCGTAACGTCTTCTGCTCTTGGGAAATAATTTGAGTTCTACTACTACAGACAATTTAGTGGCAGGTACTTTACAACACCAATAAAACAGTCGACACATAAACCTTTATCTACTAAGTTCACTCTAACACGTTATCATTCAGCCGGAACAAACTCATATTGAGCAGCCAAACATTATTCTAAATTTGTTTTAAATTTCATTAGAAATCCCCAAATCTCCAAAGATATCAATATGTAAGGCTGAATTTGGGGGGAAATTGGTATAAAATGAAGTCTTGGTTTTGAATATTTCAAATCAAAGAGTTTAAGGAAGAGTTGGACAGCATGGAATAAGGACACATAAGGGGAAACTGGATTTTAAGGCATAAAATAAGCGCTAATTCTGTGTTTTACTGTGCTTTTTTGTGCATTTAGTGCTGCTGACATGGGTGAACTGCTCCAGCGTGAGGTGGGCCACCAGGGTGCAGGACATGTTCACCGCTGGCAAGCTGCTGGCCCTCGGCCTCATCATCATCATGGGCATCGTGCAGATCTGCAAGGGTACGTTTACCAATGGCATCTGTGCTCCCAGAATGCCTATGTCCAGAACACACTCCACCTTTGTCTGGCGGTCTCTCTGTCTGTGTGTGAAAGGAAAAAAAACTCACTACGGTCACTGGGGGCATCTTCATTCATTCCGGACAGTATAGACTCCCCATGGACGCAACAGGGGTCAGTGAGTTGCCGGGGCCCTCACATAGCTAATATAGCACGCCTGTGTGGGTCCACTGTCACAACATGGCTGAGGGCCAGTTATTACAGGGGCCACAGAGAGTAGGCCCCTGAAACAACAAAACGGGATTTTCTGTGCGAATGTTTGAAGATAAATGAAGAGTTCAGTGGCTGATTTGATGGCTTTACGTCATATACGAGGGGGAGACAGTATGTCAGTGTAGAAATACTTTAATGCTCTCTGGAAACATGCCTCAAGAGCGGATTTTAAGGAAAAATTTAATGACAAACAAGGTTCCTGAAGATCATTTAGGCATTTACCCCATGCAGAAAGATCACAGCGTGTTTTTACAAATAAGTCTTTACAGGGATTTAGCAGAATGTCTTTTACAACTTCTTTTACACACACTGATTGAATTATATGATGGTTTTCAGCTGGGTTTCCTCACAGCAACCAAGCCCACAGTTATGTGGCAACCGGTTTGTTTACCCTCACAGCAAAACAACATTAGCAAACCCTAAGAGAAATGATCTGGATCAGAGCTACTTTAAGGAACACAGAAAATCCTAAATAAATGATTAAAAGCCCATTTAATGAACTGCTGCTACTGAAAAATTCCCCCTAATCATTTTCATTATCCTCTCCACCTGTAGGAGAGTACTACTGGTTGGAGCCAGCCAATGCCTTCGAGCCCTTCCGGGAGTATGATGTGGGTTCGATAGCCTTAGCCTTCCTACAAGGCTCCTTCGCCTATGGAGGGTGGAATTTCCTCAACTACGTCACGGAGGAGCTGGTGGACCCCTTTGTGTAAGACATTTTATTCTGCCGCTCATATCTCTAGAAATATGTTGCCAGAAAACCACCTTCCTAGAGAGTAATATACATAGCTGATTTTAAAGCTGCTTGCATCTATTTCAGTGATTAGCAGTTGTATACTATACTATTAAGCTCCCGAGTTTAATCCCTGATTGTTGAGTCTCATTTCCAGGTCAAAGTGTTGGTATTTGACGGCGAGCATAAACGCAACTTGTTAGTTTTGTTTTTTTCCCATAACCCTGTGGATTTGACAATCTGGAAATGAGACTTAACAATCAACTACGTTTCTCCAGAATTGCCGATCCCACCTTTAAAAGCTCTCTGAAATCAGGGATCAGAAATCATTTTCCAGGACATTTTCATCTTCTTCTTAGCCTACTAAAAGAAGAGGTAAAAAGTGAAATATATGACCGTTTAAAGCATTTCTAAAAATAAGCTTGCTGCCAAAAGTAGCAAACTGGGTGTGAACTGAACTAACCTAGGAGCAGAAATGAAAAGGGAGCGTTTTTCTGTTCCCGTTTGTTTCTGGTAAACCCGCTTTGAAATGCATACCACACAGCGTAGTCGAGTTTAAAACTAAATACGCACCCAGGTTTAGGTGATTTAGGAGTGAGGGGCTGTAATACAATCAAACTTTTCCAGGACAACATAGATTATTTCCAGGATATTTGGTCATTTTGATAAATTTCCAGGTGTTTCCATGACTGGAAAACTAGTATATCAATTTCCTAGTTTTCCAGAACGCGTGGGAACCCTGGAAATGTATTTAACTTAGCATAGGAGAAGTTCTCACTTTCATTTCCAGTATCTGGCCACCAACCTGGAAACATTTCTGGTAGAATCAAATAGTTTATGTCTTCATTTCCTCTGAATTTTCTGTCCTTTTTAACAATCCTAGTTTTTTTAATAACCTTGGTATCCATTAATACACTTCCCCTAAGGTACAAGTTTTAATTTCCTTCTTTTAATGCCCCCTCTGCCTCCTTCTCTGTAACTGTTCTCCCCATTCTCTCTCCTAAACATTGCTGTTTTTTGTCCTCTCCAGGAACCTTCCTCGTGCCATCTTCATCTCCATCCCCCTCGTGACCTTCGTTTACGTATTTGCCAACATCGCCTACGTCACGGCTATGAGCCCCCAGGAGCTGCTCGCCTCAAACGCCGTTGCCGTGGTGAGTAGATCAGACGGTGTGGTCCTGTGACGTCAGTCAAACACACATTTCGAGTACAGAATGACTTTGTCTCCCTCTAGTGATCCCTGCTGGTCGGTGCTCGAGTCAAACACTTGCGCCTCATTCATTGTATCGCAGTATAGAACGTGTTAAAAACATGTAAGCATCTAACCCTCATTCAACCTCTAACCTTCATCCTCCCGCTCCTCTATCCCAGACGTTTGGTGAGAAGCTGCTGGGAGTCATGGCGTGGATCATGCCCATCTCTGTGGCTCTCTCCACCTTCGGGGGAGTCAACGGTTCCCTCTTCACCTCTTCACGGTTAGTTTTTTTCATGGTTTTACTGCCCACAGCTATGCATAAAAAACAAACAAAAGAATGATAACTCAAACTGGAAAACTCACAAGGAACAGATTTATTATACAACTACAGAATGATCACGGAGTATTTGCACACAGAGAAAAACATTGATTGTCCTCTGTATTCTGTCAAATAAAGACTGATATGTACTGTATGGACATCAAAGATTGGTCAATATTCATTAACAAAAAATGCCTCTATATGGGATCTACTACATACCAGCTGCCAGTAAGTCCATTTAATTATTGCAGTGCAGTGGTTCTCAACCTGGGTATCGGGTCCCCACAAGGGGCCACAAGATAAATATGAGTGGTCTTAAGATAGAAAAGAAGAAGAGGAAACATTACTGCTGATTTAAATTATGTTTATTTTTCTGTCTTTTCACAAATATCTGCACTATTTAAACATTGAAACACAAGAGAGTCTGAAAATGAAACAATCCAAGAAGCAAACACTCTTGTGAGAAAAGAAACATCAGCTGTGCATTTAATATTAACTGTATTAGCCTTTCAAGCATGTTAAACTCACAGTCATTCATACAATAGTTCTTCTTGTGACTGGAGTTCACATTTTTTCCCATTTATTATGCACATTGTTCTTCCTTTGTGCTCTAATTTGAACATTTTCCTCCTATTTCATCCTCATCTTTCTCATCCTATAACATGTGGATGACCTGAATACTGTATGTGCATTAACTGATTTTTCCCCCATTGCATCTCTGTCTCTCACAGATTGTTCTTCGCTGGAGCCAGAGAGGGCCACCTCCCCAGTCTGCTGGCCATGATTCACGTGAAACGCTGCACTCCCATCCCTGCTCTGCTCTTCACTGTGAGTCCAGCTCTCACCACTACACTCCTTTTACATTACACCTTCTTTGTGATACTCTAAAACCAGACCGAGACAAGAAGCTGCAGACAAATACCACAAACTATCAAACTGACCCTCCTTTCTTCCTTTCAGTGCCTGTCCACCCTGCTTATGCTGTGCACCAGCGACATGTACACTCTCATCAACTACGTGGGCTTCATCAACTACCTCTTCTACGGAGTCACTGTCGCCGGACAGATTGTCCTGCGTTTTAAACAGCCCGACTTGCACCGCCCAATCAAGGTATGTTTATGTTTATGTTTTTATGAGTTTTGGCCTCATTTTAGCTTCTTTTTTAACAGTATATTTTGCACTTTATGCACCAGATTATATATACAAGGATACATACAATAATACATATGTAATGTATTATATCTCTCCTAGTTAATGTCAGTATGAGTCTGTTCATTCTCTTTGCAGTTCGTCTGTGTTTGGATAAAAAACAGATAAAAAACTTAAATATGGAAAAATATCAGATGCAGAAAGAGAAATATTACAAACGAAGCAGAAAACAGACATATAAGAAGGTATTTAAACAGTGCATTGCAGTAAAGAAGTACCAGAAATTATGTTTTTCTTGCATTAAATCTATTGTTTATCGCTTTGAGAAGAGCTTCCCCAGTGCTATGTTTGGCTTTAAAGCCAGATTGAAAATGTTCACAAAGCCAGTAGAGTTTTATATCTGCAGGTAAAACTGTTTCCTGAACAAAAACTGGCCCAAAGGTTTTCACATTACTACCATCTAACTTTTTTAGGAGGCAGTTTTTAAATGTACTGGAGAAACTGAGAGAGAGAGACTGATAATGTACAATAATGTTGCTTTAAGCAGCCATAAACCTTCTTCTGAAAGCTGCTCTCTGGTGCGATGGGTGTAATATCAGAGATTGATGACTGCTTAAGTAATCATTGCAGTTTCAAAGCCGTAGAGCCACAATTCAGAGTGGGACAGTATGAAAAATGGATCTGTATTTGTATTAAAACTGCAACTATCAACATGAGTGTAATAAGTTCCTGCTTTGTCTTTACAGATCAGTCTGATATGGCCGGTCATTTACCTCATCTTCTGGGCCTTCCTGCTCATCTTCTCCCTTTACTCTGAGCCCGTGGTGTGCGGCATCGGCCTGGCCATCATGCTGACTGGCGTCCCCGTCTATTTCCTGGGAGTCTACTGGGACAACAAGCCACAGTGCTTTGACGCCTTCGTTGGTAAGTTAACTTAACGTGGAACAGTTGTTTGAGGGAAGATTTCTCTATCAGTGGTGAAATGTGTTTTTTTAGGAAATACACTTAGTTGCTTTCTTGCCAAGAGTTAGATGAGAAGATGGATGCCACTCTCATGTCTGTGTGGAGGTAGAGCCAGTAGGCAATTAGTTTAGCTTAGCAAAAAGACTGTAAGCAGGGGGAAACAGCTAGCCTAGCTCTCTCTAAAATCTGAATATGTGGCTGCTACAACCTCTAAAGCTCAGTAATGAACATGTTTGTTTAATGCGTACCCAAACAGAAATGTAAAAAAGACAAGTTTGTGGGTTTAGTTTTGTACTTGCTAGGATAGAAATAAAAAAATAAAAAAATAGTAAAGCTTCTAACTCTATCTATATTTATATTTCCTAAAATGTAACATAGTTATTGATTTTAAAATATAAAATTTTTATAACATGATTATATTTTAAATATTTGTCCTTATTTTGAAAAATGTATCTCTGCATCATCTGTTTATTAACCAAAATGTTCCAAAAAGTTGTATATCCAAGTAAAAAAACTACAGTTCTTCGTACAGTACATTCAAACTGTGTTGTATATCATTTGAAAGCCTATCACTGCCCCCGTCCTAAAACTCTTTCTCGCTCTCTTCTTCCAGACAAGATGACGTACTTGGGCCAGAAGTTCTGCGTGGTGGTTTATCCGGATTTAGGCAGTAGCAGCGGGAGCGGAGAAGAAGGAGAGGAAATGAAGGAGGCCAGGTCTCCTCTGTCCAAAGAGGACGGAGACAACCACAAGTCAGCGGACTGCTAAAACATCTTTATAACAGACATGTGGGTGCACTCAAACACACAATGCAAACATACAATGCAGTGGATTTACTGATCAACACTCGTGCCCCCACACTTTATCTGTTAATATTTTTTATTTGGTTTCATCAATCAATCATTTCTGTGCCAAATGTAGTATATAAGATATTTAGGGTAATATGAACCCTAAACTTCTTTGTTTTGGGGTTCTTCAAATGTGCAATAAAGAAAGGTTAGCACCTTTAAACTCCTCAGTACACGCTTAAACAGACACATTTACTACTCTTCATCATCATCCTGCTTCTCTTCCCCCCTCCTTCCTCCTCCACACACTCCCTGCACATCCCTTTTTCTTATTATTTTTTTTAATCTAAAGACTCTTACTGTACTGTGATGGCTACGCAATCACTTTTTCTTTGTTTTTTTTGCCACGTTGTAAATTTTGCTTTGTCATCCGTTCAACACACCAAAGCTGTATTTTGATTGTCAAAGCAGAAAATCAGATTCAGATCAAGTCATTTCATGTCGTAAATGTACACCAACTACTCCGTTTTGTTTTTTTCAAAAGTGACTGTGATTCCGAAATGTTTTTTGTAATTGTGATAATTGTTTATATTTTTTTGCCTTTGTTGTTATGTTAGTTTTAATATGTGAATTTAAATTTTTGTTAATATTCTTTTTTTTTCTATTCAACATCATAAACATCTAGGCCTATTTTTTTTTTTTTACTCTTGCGACCGTGGAGGTGTAAGCCTGAAAGCTGATGTGTGATCTGTGCTTTGTATTGGTAAATGTGCTGGTAAATGGTGCACAGTTCTTTGTTAATTGCCTTAATTAGATTATATTCTGTATTTGGGTGCCATTGCAGTCAGTTTTTGACTGGAGAAATGGTTAATCCTCATACTTTGGGGAAGTTTTTAACATTTATGGAAGGAACAACAGAAACAAAAAGTATGAATTTTCGATTCTTGTATGGACACTACACAGATAATGAACCCGTTAAAACTGCAAGTCCTGCATGGACATAGTTGACTAGAAAGGATAACTAGGCAAGACATGATAGTTTTCACCACCACATTTGCATCGATGATATGCAAACCCCTACACCGACACATGTGAATGCCTGTGTGAAAAACAGTCGTTTTGCGGCAGAAGTATTTTTGTAGTTTACCATCTAGCTTTGTTTAAATAATTTTTTTAGTTTGTTCTTTATTTAGCCTGTAGAAATGAAAGATTTACATAAAAAAAAGTATTTTTTGATTCATGCAGTTCACTAGAAGAGATTTTAGTGCGATGTTAGTGCAGGCACCAGCAAAAAAAAAAAAAACATAAACTGAACATGCACCCCTAAATGAACCCTGTGTCTGGTAATAATTATGTATCTATACTTATGCTGTATGTTATAGTAACAACACTCCTGCACACATAAACACACATTGTGTACTCTTTTGTCTTTCTATACTCTTAATTAGTGTCTCAGGGCATGCCCACTGCCTTCTCCTTACATACACTGCCGAAAACCTCCAGACCACGAAAACTCAGATCTGACTGATTGCCTCTTTGCTAAACGTCTGTACTGGTGCTTTTAGAGAATAATTTCCTCAGGCGTCTCAATCTTACAAGCTACCCGCCCCCCCCCAAAAAAAAACAGGCATTGGCAGACATGCATGAATAGCTATATCCAGAAAGAAGAAGAAATCATTAAAGTTGGGCCAGTATTGTATAGGTTTCTCTTGTTAAACTGTAAGCGGATCAGGGTGTCTTGGATGTCTTCACAAGTACAATGATTGTGTTTTTGTGCCTGTACGGTTATTGTATATTTACAGTATACACAGATGTCATGACAGTCTGTATATTGTCTCTTAGTAAATAAAAACCACTGACTAATGTTTGAATTTGTAATTCAGGGCCTCATTTATATATTTTTTAAAGAAATGCTCCTGTCTTTATTCCACTCATTTCAAACAATGTGATTAAATTTGTACATTTTCCAACAATGAAATGACATTTCCTCAATTTAACATACAGTATAAACTTGAAATTTGTGAATTTAACATTTCTCACTCTTACTGTACATAAATGAGGCCTGAATTTTTCCACCTCAGAAAACAAATGCTGCGACTTTATGTGATACAGCAATGTAAACAGTGCAAACAGCAACTTAGAGCTTTAAACGTTTAATTGCTGCTTATTCACTGCTTAAAATCTAAAGAAAGTTTAGCTAATTCCTTTTTTTTTTCTTACTTTCTTGCTGCTCAAGGGTCCCTAACAAGCTGCAACCTCCACTTGTTGCTTTAAATCAGACCAAAACTGGTCTTCAAAGTGGTGGAAATATGAAGTTTTCTATGTCGTAACACTCATCATGTGTGATTCTTCTCTTCCCGATAGTAATGTTCTCTCTATATCACTTTGTGTACACATTGGTCTGTAATTTAAGTTGCAGTTTGCAGTCTAGCTACAACACAGAGACATTTTTTCGACTGACATCTCTCAAATGTAAGTCTATTTTTGTGTTAAAAAATGTAAATGTACATATCGGTGGCGAGTGTGTGACAAGAATAAAAAAAAACATACGTAAGTGAATAAGACTTTTCACGACTGCTTTGTACAGCTGTTTTAAATGAATTTATAAAGGAACACAAAAGCAAAAGTGAGGTATTTTCCACATGAGTTTATTCTACTGACAAACTAATCCACAGCATAGGTCAATTCTGTACATTTGGGCGCTGACACAGCAACATAAAAACAAACAATATCTACCGGTGTGTAAACTGAAGCCCTTGTCGGACAAGACCACAGCTGACACTTTCCTTGTCTTCATAACAGTAAAATGTGCAATCAGCACAAAAACTAATAAATCTCAACAAATTAAATTCATGTGAAATTATATAAAACATTATCCTCCTGAATGGACACACTCAGTCTACTTATGAAGCATGTATAAAGCAAACGATGTGGTACATGATTTAAGATAAGTGGCAGGAGGTTTTCCTGACCCAGAAAGTTTCCCCTAACAGTGATAGTTTGACCTCTTTGAGAAATACTCTAATTCGCTTTATGGCGGAGAGTTAGATGAGAAGGTCGATACCACACTTGTTTTTATCATTCTCTGTCCATTAAATAAACAGCTCGCCTGGCTGTATCCAATGGTAACAAAATGTACCTACCAAGCCCACTAATTAACAAATTATATCTTCCAACAGCCATCTGTCATTTTAAATGTTGCCTTTTATTTAACGGACAAATATAAAAGTGGTATCTATCTTCTTTCTGCCAGAAAGCGAATATGTGTTAATGAAAAATGTAAAACTTTTTTAAACACACTGTTTATTCCCAACCCGAGCTACACGAGTGCGCCACACAAGAAAATGTGTTTCGATATGTTGATACGCGCAGTAAGCCCCCAGAAAAATAAAGTGGGCAATTGGTAGAGAACAGAATAAAACGTGGATGAAGCAGAAAAAGGTAAACCTTAAATTGTGTCACGCTCTGAAGGCGAAGGGCTACGGTCTGAGGATAGGCTTTCCTTGAAGAATCTCCAAGCTACAGTAATCTCTGTATTATCATCAGTGGAACAAAGATAAACACTGTGCTTGCATGCAGAGCCACAGAAAGCGACAGAGGCTTGAACACTGTACAGTAGTCTCCTGTAATGTAGCAGCCAAATGAGCTCTAGGTTGTGAAATCTTTAGTTTAATTTAATTCTGAGAGTAAGTTTGCCTTCTCTGCGAGGGCTTTAACGTGTGAAGGGTCTCAGAGCAATGTTACAGTGGGGGAAGTGTTTGTCCTACAGCATATTTTTGGCTGCAACAAGTAGAACCTAACTCTTTCTACCAACGGCTCTGTGTGTTGCCTACAATCCTCCGCAACCGGTGGCCCTCGTGTCTTCCGGCGTATCCGCTCAGTGTAGGCATCGCAAAAGCTAAGGCATGTTTCCAAGTGACGGCTACCACGCAGGCTTGGAGCACAGGCTTCTGGGAGAGTGGAGCGCCTGTCCTCCTCGCAGAGCAAGCACCAGATGGAGAACAGAGCCCCCCTGGATTTTATAGTCTGCCGCTGTTTTCTCATCGTTCCTGAGAATAAAGACAAAGAGGATGCAGCGTTCAAAGAAAACGCTCTATTAAAATGATTTTGTCTACAATAGACACACACAAGCTTCTTGCAACATCTTCCTGAACTAGTTTAAGCATAAAGCTGGTGTTATTCTATATTTTTTCATGTAAAACAGGTGGGTTGGACGCTCATGTTCTGGGTGTATTCTGTTATGTTTTGCTGTCACTCGGTTGTTTAATGGGAGCTTGTCTGGAGAGTTTTAGCATTTATTGACCGTATTTTATTACAGGTTTATTATGTTTTATGTATCTTATCTTTAAGCGGCATTCAGCCTATCACATTCTTTCCTACCAAAGACATAAATCTTTAAGAAAAAACAGGAAGATATAGTTAAAACAGGAGTAATAGTGCGTATGTGGTTGGCACTATTTTCAGCCGTAGATTATATGCGTTTTGGTGCACTTGTTAGTATTTACAGTCTGAGGATGGTGTACAGTATGTGGAATTATCTTATTATCTATCCTATTATCTAACTATTATATATATAACAACAATATTATTATTGCTTATCCAGCAATTATCATTAGATTGGGGAAGCATTTATTAATTAAGGGTATAACATGTATTTATTCGGTTTTAATATAGCATCTTAAACATTA